CTATGAAAATCACATTGGTAGAGTCTGAGGAGACACTAGTTAAATGGATTGTAGAGTGATTGAATGACACATGGGAGATTAGCTATGAAAATCACATTGGTAGAGTCTGAGGAGACACTAGTTAAATGGATTGTAGAGTGGTTGAATGACAGAAAAAAAATGAAGTCCTGGAAACTGAACCATTGTTACTAGTGAAGTACCTTAAGGGTACTGCTTGGGTCTTTGTTTTCCTTACTTGCATTAATGATAATTGATGGATTGTAGAGTGGTTGAACGACAGAAAAAAAAATGAAGTCCTGGAAACTAAACCATTGTTACTATTGAAGTACCTTACGGTTACTGCTTGGGTCTTTGTTTTCCTTACTTGCATTAATGACAATTGATAGAGGCATAATTAGAAAACTAGCAAAGTTTGCTGATGATATTAAGCTCTTGGGTATTTCTAGCTTTATTAAAGATGTTCAGGTACTACTGAAAAGATCTGGTCAAGTAGTAAAATACGCTGACTGATCAGTCATTGAGCTCACTGATCAAAAACTTACAATAATAATAATACAAATCACGTTTTGATACCCATGATGGCATAGCCTACTGTGTAGCTTTGTGCTTAAGAGTATAATGTTGGATAGTTGGAATAATTGAAAGTAGTAATAATCAGAAACACTAATTTCAAGTATTTGATTACTTTTGTGACAATTGATCGAATCATAATTATGATTACTGGATAGTTAAAATATTCAAAAAGTAATATTTGAAAACACTAGTTTCTATTAGTTGATTATTTACATAACATTAATCACTTTAATCATAATTTCAATTACTGAGTTGAAATAACCAAAAACATTGATTATTTTTGTGACATTAATTTAGTTACAAATTTGATTAATTGTTTATTTTATTTGACACTAATCGATGTAATTGATTTTCATATCTAATAGATTATATCAATTAATCAAGTTAATTGCCCAGTTCTATTACAGAGGAACTAGGATCAATTGGTAACTTGAACAAATATTTGGCAACTTAATTATAGAACCTAAAGGGGATGTTGGATAATATAATTCATGAATTCCACCATCAACAACAATTTAACAATTGTACTTTTCATAAAAAATAACAATCAACACTTTTAGACCTTAGATGTCTTTTAACAGGCCATTAATCATACTGTCTGGCCTGCAAAAACCACTTACAAAATAACAAGATAGTCGTAAGTCAAAAGTTGTAAATCTGCTAACACTGACCTACTCTTCACCAAATCTAAAAATTCAGATTGTATATGTACAGTGACTATACAGTCAACCATTGATACTGTGATTATATGTAAATTATGAAAAGAAAAAAACAAAGCCAGATAATCATGTGGTCAACTATTTGAAATTATATAACACAAAACTGCTGATTACGCATAAACAATCAAAAGTTATGCATTGTTCATGTGGCAAAATTTAAAGTCATGCAACCTTCAAGACCCTAACAATTAGTAAATTACTAAAGTTTGCTGATTAAACTCTATGGTATTTCTAGCTGTATGAAGGATGCTGAGGTACTACAGAATGACTTGGATCAATTGGTAAGTTGGTCTGTTGAGGTACTACAGAATGACTTGGATCAGTTGGTAAGTCGGGCCTCTGAGGTACTACAGAATGATTTGGATCAGTTAGTAAGTTGGCCTGCTGAGGTACTACAGAATGACTTGGATCAATTGGTAAGTTGGTCTGTTGAGGTACTACAGAATGACGTGGATCAATTGGTAAGTTGGCCTGCTGAGGTACTACAGAATGATTTGGATCAGTTGGTAAGTTGGCCCTCTGAGGTACTACAGAATGATTTGAATCAGTTGGTAAGTTGGCCCTCTGAGGTACTACAGAATGATTTGAATCAGTTGGTAAGTTGGTCTGTTGAGGTACTACAGAATGATGTGGATCAATTGGTAAGTTGGCCTGCTGAGGTACTACAGAATGACTTGGATCAGTTGGTAAGTTGGCCTGCTGAGGTACTACAGAATGACTTGGATCAATTGGTAAGTTGGTCTTTAGTTATTGTAGGTGCAAGATAATCCTCTTTGATTTCCATAACTTGTACCACACATTAAATATAGGTGGAAACCTACTCAGTAGCATGACTGAAGAAAATGATCTTGGTATAGTGATGGATATGTCATTCAAGAGACATTGAGGTTCTCAGTGTTCTGTTGCTAGTAGTATATTTAACAGAATTTTATGATTTATTTTAAATGTATTGATTGCACAGCAAAATATGTAATTATATCTGTACAAATCACTAGTTAGATGTTACTTGGAATACAGTATATACTCTTGGTTTCCCTATCTAAAAAAAGAATAAGGCTTTACTGGTTCAGAGGAGAGCTACTAGAATGATGCAGGAGATGGAAAGATTACCTTAAAGGGATAAGTTAAGAAATTCAACCTATTTTCTCTTGAGAAAGGAAAGTTAAAAAGTGTTCTTATTGAAGCTTACAAGATTATTCAGAGGATCAATACACTAAAGGTGTCTTGTATATTTTTACCATATTATGAAGAAATTAAGATGAGAGGGCAAAAGTTTAAGATTTGAAGACTTAACAGGCTACAGTGAAGACAGTTTTAATTTTCTAAGAGGGTGTTTGACAAATAGAATTAATTTCAATGGCAGTAATGGAGGCCAACACTTTACATGGGTTTAAATCAATGATTTTATGAAAAATAAAAGAGTGGCTTTAAAGTTTATATTTTCATGAGGGTGATTGTGCAATTTGTTGTTTGAATGTTATATTAACATTCATAAACATTTGAGATTTTTAAATCTTTGTTAATTTACCTATTTACATATTATAGTTTAAATTAAAGATTATTAATTTTTAAAAGTTTATTTTCAGCTATTTTAAAAAGGAGGTAAAGATTTTCCAAGCATCATTTTAATTTCTTCCATTATATCTTTCAGTTTCTAAAAATTAGATTTTCTAAAATAAGGATCACAACACTGAGCAGCCTTAAAAGTAGTTTCAATATAAATGCCAAAGGTTTTTATTCTATGATCATAAATCTTAAGGGCTTGAATTCCACAGTAGCATTTCTAACCATATCCTCCTTAATATTAAAGATGAGGTTTTAAAATAGATTTTTCTTTGGCTTGCTGTATGAGTAGCTCTGATAATTTCATGAAATTTCCCAGCTTAACATGAAGAAAACAAGTCTACCCAATAAATATAACTAATACTGAAATTTCTCATAACAAGTTTTCTTTTTATTATTAGCAGCAAAATTAAACTGTACATATCCCAATGAACTGGTATTAATAACCTGATCACAAAATGCTTTAAGTACCTTTTCTTATTTCAGTAAAGTATTCCAACTTCAAAACACCTTATATATTTGAACTGAAAAGTATATACAGAAAAAAGTGAAGCCACAGTAAACATGATTAATGAAATGCAGTATCATCTTGTTATTCATTTTTGGAGGGGAAGAGAAAAAAAGAATACCAAATTTACTGTTAGTTTCAAAAACCCATAATTTCAGAAATTCATATAAGTCTTATGCAATTTCTCCACTTGTGTTAACATACAACACTTTTTATATTGCAAAATGTAATGTTTGTGACTGCAAGTTCAGAATTGTAAACATGTATTACAACAAAATTTACTTTAATTCAAAAAATGACTAGGCATATTAAAATTTAATGTAATATTTTATATTTTGCTAGGAAGTTTTAATTGTTTGCTGCTGACCTAGATGTGAAAATGAGACACTCAGGCAGTGCTCTGTTGCTAATAGTAAAGTTAACACATTTTTAAGATGTCTTTGTAGACATATCAGTTTAATAAGGTTATTTAAGCCTTATGCAATTTCACAATTTAACTTTAATTGTTGGCTGATAAAAGATGACAAAGGGAGAAAATAAATAATTAAGCTATAATAGCAATTATATTAAAATTTCAACCATTCATAATCAAATCATATGTAATAAATTTAATTTTTCTTGTATGTTTGGTGTTGAACAAATCATGCCAAGTGGATATTTTTTTTTACTATTACATATAAAGCAGCTCTACGAAACAATGTTTACTATTAATTTATATAAGGTCATGCACTGATGTAGTTTAAAGTTTAACGACATATCCACATATATAAAATGAAAAATGATGAAGCCTTAGTAACTAGCTTCTGAAGCAGCAGGTTAAGCTGTCCGAACAAGCAACAAAATATAACTGTACAGCGTTAGTTTCCACTTAAATATAATTACAAATGTATATATTATCATTAATATCAATGTGGCTCTAGCGATCGTAACGTTAGCTTGTGTATAGTAGTACTAGTAGTAGTCTCTTAAGTTATGTTGCAACACTTGCACTTAAATATTCAACATTACACACACACATATATAACCAAAAAGCCATTTCATAATTTTAAAATATATAACACAGGTCTTACAGGATGAGCCATCTTCGGTTATTTCGTTGTTGATGCTTTATTCTTCTGTACAATTAACCAAAACTGCAGAGAATACTACTCCTACTAATCGATTCTGCAGACGAATGGTATCGAAGCGTCATCTCGTTGCACAGACTGTTGCTACTTGCGTGCATAAGTAGTATATATATATATATATATATTTATAAATTAGCAAAAAGTGCTTCAACAATATATATATATATTTGGGCTAAGAGCTGTATAATTCACAATCACATAATTATTTAATTTGTCTAAACTTTTGGATCTAGGACATTTTACAGCCCTTCTTCAGAGGTTAAAGTGAATAATATAACAAAGTTTTATTTTTACATCGATCGATCTGTTTTATTATTCACTTCGTATAATTTAACTTAAGACTGTAATCAATCTGAAAAAAAAAGAGTAAACTTAGTGTAAATACGTAATAAACACTTTTCATTAATAATGAAGACAACAATGTTGCCTGTTTAATCTTTCTTCGAGTTTGTTTCTATTTTATGGCGTGAAAAATGTTAAGAAACGTCAAAATTAACAATTATGGAAAGTACAAAGGACAAGCTTGAAAACTCAACAAAACCAGTGACAAGAGCAGTCATTTAAGTTTGTTGCTTAGTTTGATACCATGTTGTCCGAGCATTAAGAAAAACGAAACCCAGTGACATTTGATATCTTATATATATTTCACTAAACACAGTTTTAAGGTAGATCCCACATATAACAGGAGTTTTGTTGGGGAAGTGAATTGCAGAGCAAAATTGATTTCTGACTTTGATTGAAAACCAGTCTTAGTTTATTCAAATCAATCAAATAGACGAGCAGACAGGACGAAAAATAATACCTTTACTGGGTTTCGGTTTATATTGCTCTATCGATCTGTAAATCTGTTAATCTCTGAATATCTATAACAGATTGATAGAGCATAGCATTATATAGAAGGTTCTATAATGCCATTTCTCTTTCTCAGTGTGCTCGTGTTACCCAAGCCAATGATAGTCATTCTCATAAAAAAAAAATTATGTCACCCAAGGTATTACGTAACCTGCCAATGAGAAAGAGTGTTGCCCACCTTTACATAGTGTATCTTCATTTGTAGCAATATTCTTCATTATAAATCACACGTGATACCACAGATGATGGTCAAATTATAGGCAACTTAATTTAAGTAGAAGGAATTTAGCCATATTCCTCTATTGTTAAAAGTACATGCATGGCTAAAAACATGCAGTTTGAAATATTTTGAAAATTTTTGGTGAAATAAAACCTATTAACTGAAGAAGATATGAAATATCATGTATTCATATGCATACTACACTGTTTGTACCGTGCATAGTGTCTTCAAATAATGCTGTGTTGATTTATTTTGGCAAAAACTGCTCAGTGGGCTATCTGTGTTTTTTTTGCCATGGGAATCGAGCACCCGATTCTAACATCATAAGCCCATAAGCTGAACCATTTCGAGACTTCTGAGTATGATACTAAGAGTCAAACATAACTACACCTAAACAAAGTAGTTACACAAATTTTTATGGATAATTGTACCATATAACATATTGGCAAAATATTCTATGTATATATTTAAGGATTCACAGGTAGTGTATTTCATTGGCTGTGGAAACTTGCACTAGGATAATCACTGTAGTAACTGATAAATGTTGGCACCACAATTTTCAATTGCTGAATTAATACTGACGATGTTATTGGAAATTACAATATGTAACATCTTTCTGAGAATCACCTCTGTTGCAACGGCATCTTTCAGCTGAGGAATGTTTTCTGGTTTATGGTAATTGATCAATATCTCCAGAATGCCCCATAATCAGTAATAATTAGGAGTTATTGTATACATTAGCTTTAAACTAAACATATTCTTTATCACTGTTAAGTAATCACAGAAAACATTATGTCCTGCTTTAACTGTGGTCTACACTAATTTCTGTTGCATTTACCAAAAAACATGCATATCAATATTTTAGACAAAGTTATTTATTTTCTGAAAATTTGTTCTCTGTATATTTATATTTAAGAATATAGAAAAATCCACATGTGATGCATATTGGCATACACATATACCAAACAACATTACATATTAAATTAATGGATATCTATAGACCAACAGCGAGATACTTATGATAACCAACAGTGTGCAACATTCATAATAATGGCCAATTACCAACCCCCTGTAGTCACCTTGTCTGCCACTATATCACAAATTATAAGTAAAAATTTAAATTGCTCAGTGCTATACTAAAACCATACAATCAAAAATGAAATTAAGCATCTTGGGTATAAATGCATTGTCAATTCACATATTCATACACACTTTTTGTACTTTTAATAACCTACTCTTACTTCAAAATCACTGCCATCTGTATCCATTATGAATGGATCTTCAAATGTATGTGATATGTACATGCACATTCAGATTACGTTACACTCAAGTAATATTTCAGTGAAGTACTTCTCAAAGTTCACAGCAAAATTTTGCTCGAGAGCTCGGAAAACAAGGACTACAAAACCCTTTTAGTATATTAGTATGCTAAAAGTTCTGACTATCATGAAGAGTTACTGCCAACTTACCTGTTCTAGCTGTAGTGATCTATTGAGTCTTTGACTGTGTGCTCTGCAGAAAGACTGCATTATTCTACTATGTTGCTTGAAAAGTAACGATCGCCAAACCATTTCTGTTGCTGATGCACGTACTCAACTGTCCACACAATAACTTGGAAAGCAAGTGTTAGAACTGTCTTTTGATTTTGAAACCTTATCATTGCATTAACTATTGACATATATTGTTTTGGAGGTTTGTTTCAAAGCCATGAATGATCTCTTGAACAGATGTATTGTTCTGCAATCGGCTTTTCCTCCTCTGACTTAACATCTTCATTGACATAAACTAAGTTTGGACAATACGACACACTCTGATCGCTATCCTCTAATTCGTTGTTCACTTAAACTCTAATCTCTGACCTAGCTAGTGCACGAATGGTTTGTCAGTGATATACAGCTTTAGGTGAACAATGTGTTTAATGTGTTCTTTCACAGCACAGGACTGGTGTAGCTCGAAGAATGAACTGTCAGAGTAAAAATAAGGACAATTAAAGGTAGGGCTGAGTTATTTCTATGCTGCACCCAAGTACCAAAACCATATATAGTCTTTAGGCTCGAATTTTCATTCCATTATTGTCTTATAATATCATATTGTTTTCTGGTGGAACAGCAGTAAGTCTATGGATTTACAATGCTAAAATCCGAGGCTCGATTCCCTGCAATGGACACAACAGATATCCCAGTGTGGTTTTGTTCTAAAACAAAGAAACAAGCATAACATATTTTTGATGTGTAAATTTATGAGCAGCATTGAATTCATATCTTAACCACTCCAAACATTCCTGTAGACACTGTGGATTATGTATGCTGGAAAATAGACCATACATTATATCCATTGGGTGTTGTACCACACGTCAAAGACCAGTAAGGTCAGTTGAAAACCAACTAATTGTTGCTGTACTGTCCTACCTATCTTCATGATATATAGCAAGTGTTCAAGCCAGTCATTTCATTCAAGGTTCATAAACCTCCTAAGTATGGTTGACAGACTGTAGGCCTTTTCAACCAAACCGTCAGACTGAGAATGATATGGTGGAGTGTGAATTTTCATCCCACCCAGCATGCAGGACAGATACTCAGGTAATGGGCTTTTGAAATTTACTTGTTGATCAGTCTGAATTTCTCAAAGTATTCCAAATCAAGCTAACCACCATTCAGCTTACTTAACAGCAATAGACTGTACCCTAGTGTAAACCTATGGGTAAGCTTTTATGTATTTGGTAAAGTAGTAGATCAGTACATATCAATTATCGTTGTCAGTCTATAGAACAGAAGCAGCTATATCCAAGGCTTATCTCTGCAAAGGAGAACCTACCCATTTCTGTTTGGAGTTACTCTGGTGTAGTCAAGTTTTTCATAGGCAACACATACAATACTGTGATTATACCATCTCTCAAGTCTCGATGCAAAGGAACCACACATGAGTATTAGTGTGTGACACTTCTTGCTAAGCTCAAGTTCATGTATTAAGCAAGGTCCAAATTATCTCCTGCCTTAGCACCCTCAGAACAACTAGAAGCGTAATAGATAATGTACTATATTTATATGGTTCAAGACAGTATTACAACATAATGGTTTATACACGTGCCACAGGTTTTCGAATTCATATGGTGTTCACCAAGATATGAGATACTTTACTCTCTTATAATAATATCACATACAAAGATAAGTATAAGATACAGATAATAACATTAATTAGAATAATAAATTATTTTATATAATAATAATATCAATATAAAGTATTGCACAGTTAAAGAATTTTCAATTTCTCTAGATAGTTATTACAAATGTGAGAGTTAAGTTAAGTCAAAAACAAACACTGGTAATCTTATCTATAAAAATAAAAGGGCGTGTCTGTGTGTGACCATCATAGCTCCAAGACGAAAGAACCTGGAAACCTGAAATTTTGCACACATAATAAGTGGCCCCTGAGGGTGTGCACCTGGGTGTTACTATTTATCCATGCCCGCACGCATCATCTTGTGAGGTAAGCAATTGAAAAACACATTAAAATCAATATGTGATGTCATAGCTCCAAGAGCACAATACCTATAAACCCGAAAGTTTGCACACATACTAAGTGAACCCTGAGGGTGTGCACCTGGGTATCATTACTTATCTATATTGCATGCACCTTTTTAATGTTGCAAGCTAGCAAAAAACACATAGAAAAGAAATGGTTTCTTATATTAAAGAATAAATCACAGACAGACACGCACTTTTGTGCGTCCGTGCTTGCGCATTTGTGTATGTGTGACTCCCATAGCTCCAAGAAGAAAGAACCTAGAAACCTGAACTTTTTCACCCATACTAAATCGACCCTGCGTGCGCGTATGCGTATCTTTTTAATGAGGCAAGCTAGCGAAAAACCACAGAGAAAAGAAGTGGTTCCTTATATAACAACTTCTAATATATAGAAAAGCCAGTGCATTTTGGTAACAATGAGTTCCAACAATAGATTGTATGTCATTTTGCTTAGGCAAAGTATTTAGGT